ATAGCTAGTGCCGGCTAACTTTGTCGGTATTATGTTCTTTCGGGAATCCGTTTTTCGGGATTTTGACCCAAATTCAAATAATTCGTGTATAAAGCAGATTTTATAATTTCTATGGGAAATTGGGAAATTATTTCTTTATCCATCATTCCATCATAGAGAATGGTCACCAAAATCCAAAATTAAGTTGGTTCATAATAACGCGTCATTATAAAAATTTTACAGGTTTCCGAGCTTCCAAACTTTCTAACCAAACGAACAATAATTTAAAATAATTTATAGTTGAATCTCTAGCAGTATAGGTAACCTCGCTCTATAATCAATACATTTTATTAAAGGGTTCACTTATACTACAAGAGATCCTTATAATTTATTAAGACTCGAATTTTTAGACAATTAATTATGTACCATGCTTATAAAAATTCTGAAGTTGTATCTAATTTATCAAAAATTAATATGGGTCTATATAGTTATGATATACTGTAGTACAGAAATAAATCATTCCTTAATTTGTTTTTCCTTCATTTTTTCTTTGTAATCTTTGTAAGTCTCCTTTTCTTTTTTAGAAATATTTCCCTTCCCATTTCCTCCATTATTCTTCGATTTTGTATTTACGATATTGTTAGTTCCAACCAACTTTCCAGTTTTTAACCATGTCTCGTAAGCCTGATATCTACTCTTTGCCACACTATTTGTATATTGATCCGATCCTACAGCTTGTAATACAGCATATTGTTTTGGTATAACTAAATTTTCTTCATATACTTTTTCATCTGCTAAAGGCACTTTTATATCTGTTAATGGATTTGTCAAATTGGCACGCCGCATGTAAGCATTGTAAACGTGGTAGTCAGAATGACTGGTCAATGCTGGATCGTTATTATCAGTTAGCGTTGGTGTTAGAACTAGATTTTTGTTTTGGTTTATGTATCTGAAAACAATAATATGAATTAATATAGTAAATTTAATATAAAATTTCTAATCTTAAATACATACTGTTTGTATTCTTTTGCTTCATTCGAAGAAACTGAAGGGGTTAAACTCTTTGAAACAATAGATTCCATTGTATTCGGATTATATTTTTCTTTTTTTACTTTTTCTTTCTCTTCTTTTTCTTTTTCCTTTACTTCTGATTGAACCTCTTTAGACTTCGTGTTTGGTAGTGAAGCAGCAAACCACTTTTTGACATTTCCAACGTTCATCAAGCTGTTTTCAAAATTGTATATATTGTGTTAGGATTTACCAATATTTATAAATGTATTGATAAACTAAAACTTACCGAGAAGCTTGTGGAGGTGTTACCCGAACTTTGAACGGACTTTCATCCGCACTATCGACAAAAAAAGAATATTTATAGATTTTATAATAAAAAAATGCAAAAGCAATGTCATTTAAATAAATCATACCCTGATGGAATATATTTCGTAGTACTTTTCATGTCATACGCAAATAATTTTTCAAATGACGTGAAAAGTCGTGGACGATAATATTCAATCCAGTAGCCGGAATATGGATCCGCTTCGTCGTCTTCAAACTGACGAGCTATGCGAGGCGAAAGTTGATATCTTGCAGTATCCTGCTGTTGATCATTTTTTTGTAGAAAATCCTTACTCCACCAATAAATGTAACTAATTAAATAATAATTATATAAGGATGCATATTCAACATATAATTTAAACAAAAAAGAAACAATAACATTGAAATTGACTTATAATTTCTCAAGATATCATACCTTCTCCGCGGCTTTTTAAAACGAGGATCTTCATTATGTAAATAATAATCGCTTGTAAGTTCCCATAACATCGGCTTATCTTTTTCTGGTCGGAAGTTTCCAAGGAAAAGATTAATCGAATCCTGCTTTTCACCATCTATATTTAAGTAAGAATATGATAATCAATAATAGTTAACGACAATTATTTCTAAAGTATACAAATAGTTACCACAAAGAGCGTTACTATAATATCTTCTCAAATTTTCTATCAAATCTCTAGATTGGTTGGAGAATTGATTTTTTCTCCGATAAGAATCGAGAGTGTTGACTAAATTTGAGCCACCATATTGGAAAGCAATAGTATCACCATGATCGTGGTACATATCAGTGAGCATATTCATTACATCAGAATCAACAGGAACCCAGGGTTTATCGATTATTCCAAGTGCATGTAGCTAATTTTGAATAAAACTCTATTGAGCCATTGCAGTTTGTATTTAAAAAAAGGATTTAAGAATTACATGCCTGATGACCCAAAGCACATTTACCGATAATCAATTGTGCAGCATTGGTACGATCTAAACAATCAATACAATTTGTCCTTACAACACCACTTTGTCGCCTAAACATCTGACGTTTTTGTGGCTTCCCTTGGCTTTAAGATATTTTTAAATTCAGCATTATTTAAAAGCTAAGTTAAAATCCTTGAGGAAAAAAAAAGAACATACGTCTGTTCTCTATTCAAAACATTAACCCATGCTTCAGGACCACTATGAAAGAATCCGGTATCGGCTAAGTATTTTTCTGCGAATCCTTCCATAATATCAAAGACGTCTTCATCACTACGAGATATCTATTAGATCTCATATAACTTCAATTTTTTTATTGAAAAAAAAAATTAGGATACCTTTTTCTAGCCTTTGACATATCCCAAGGCTGATATATGAGACTCTTTTCTGGTAAAAATTGAATCAAGTATTTCATGGCATCTGCAAATTCATCTCCCAAAATAGATTCACGAGGATTTTTTTCTTTTGTCTAAATGATGAAAAATGCAATACACTCGTAAGATTCAAAAATTCATTAATGCTTTAAGATTATACAGTTAATCACCTTGATCAAATTCAGAACAATTATGGGTGCGCCATAGCGTTTGAACATATTATCAAAGTGCAAACCTGCAGCGGCGTAGAAAGGATCTCGGAAGTTAACTAGTTAGCACAAATAATAAATAAATATTTAAAATATAAGTGTGGTAAGAATGTTCCAGTCTATTTTCAATAGCTTAATGATCATGTACAAACTTGATATAGGCGGCTTTGGCGACATGTTTGTCACATCCTGGGACCAAAACAAGGGTATAGATCCACGATGTTGCACATAAGATGTATAATTTGGATTATCATAAAGACGAGTTCCAGATCGGTGAAACGAAGTTGTGCTCATATCCGCTACTATCTGTTCAGTTTCCACATCATTTGCAACATAACCCTGAAAAACAATAAATACAAACATCAATATTGTAGTCATTAATATAATAAAAGATATGATAATCATTGGAATTATAAAATTAACTTGATCATTGACGCCACGTTTTAAAAAACGTGCACCAGCAAAGTATCTTGATCTTCGAGCAATCAATGTCACAAAGACGTTCCGTCCAAATATTGAAATTTCTAAAAAAAAATAGGAAAAATAATGTAAGCTTAATATTACTTTTGCATTTTAAACGATTGTATTTTGTAGTTAAAGCAAGTATACTTGATTGATCCACAAAGCCGTGAATTATCGGTAAAATCCAATCAGAATTGCTCTTAAAACTTCGAAATCCAGTTTCCAATAAATAGTGATTCCAAACAAACATTTCATTATATGAATAATTTTTACGATTTGATGAACGAGTCATGTTATGCTGAAGTGTATGAGTAATATCATAAGTGTAGCTGAAATAAAAATTCTTTGTCAAATCCAAAATGTTGAAAATACTATGGTATCTGATAAATAATAAATAGGAAACTGACGATATTAGCACATATAATGTATATTTAATAATAGTTAGTTCTATGATCAAAATGTAAATTACTTGTATTCATCAGAATTTTTTTCAGGTTTTGTCTGCTGTCCAATTGGACGAAGAATAGTCTCATCAATATGATATATATAATGGCCGCCAATCAAGGCAACAGCG